ACCAATTGTAAGTGTGTTATGTCGACTAGAGGGGGGGGTGAATAGGCGATTTTTATGAATTCTTCACTGAGGAATTTGCCGGTGAGGAAATTCCTTAGCGAAGAACTATTAGCAGCGGAATAAGTACTCAGAAGTAAGCATAACAGAATACACGCATGGTCATCATGATGAAATGAAGACTAGCACAGAGTACAGAAAGCGTAATCACAGGATAACACAAGATGAAGACAAATAGACTGAAGAAATTGAACTGAGGAAATTGAGAAAGTCTTCAGTCAAAGTCTTCAAACACAGATATGAACAAACACTCAACACAGCAATGAGGAAATGAAAGGGTTGAGGAAATAGAACCAGTTAGGTTGGTGAAGACAATGATTTGGTAGACCAGTTCCAACTGCTGTCTCAGTTGTATGTCTGGTTGGAGCGGCTGAGTATTTAAACTCGAGGACACGCAGTCCCGGACACCCAGTCTCTGAGCACGCAGCTCAGGACACCCAGTCCTCACCGTATTCTCCTTGAACTAAGATCACACAGATCCCGTCCAATCACTCGTGGTAAGTCTTCAGGCGACTTCCAAACCTTCACAGACTTGGTCACTCGGCGATCCACAATTCCTCTTGGATGCTCTAGACCTTGACGCCTAACCGTCTGGAAGAAGCACAGTCTTCAAAGGTAACAAGCGTCGGATCCACGCAGGATCAATTTCTTCAGTGATGCTCAATCACTTTGGGGTTTGTAGGTGTTTGGGTTTGGGATTTTCCTCACTTGATGATTTTCGCTCAAAGTCCTCGGAGGATGGGTTGCTCTCAAATGACAAGTGTCAAGTTCTCTCGGAGCAGCCCACCAACTAGTGGTTGTAGGGGGCGGCTATTTATAGCCTAGGGAGCAGCCCGACATGATAAGACATAAATGCCCCTCAATGATATGACCGTTAGGTGGATAAGATATTTTGGGACAGCTGGCGCGCAGCACAGCAACGGGCGGAAATTTGACTCTCAAATTCCTCAGGGCTATCATGTTCCTCACTGTGTAGGTAATTCGCATTGGAAAATTCCTAACTCCTCAGTCAGAACAAATTCATCAGCGACCAGAAGAACTTCGTCTCTGTCACTGAAGAAAGTGACTGAACCGTATGAGATTTCCAAAGGCTTCACTCGAAGGGATTGGTAGGTGTAGGATTTTGAGTTGAGCATCACATGGAAATTTTTCCTTAGTATTTCCTCGACCCCCTTTAACGGTACAGTGTTTCCTATGACTCAAGAAGGAGAAAATGAAACTACGAAAACAAAAGTCTTCACGCTTCATGTTCCACAAATGAATACCAAGTCTTCAAGGTCACACCAATTTCTTCACTTTCAAAGTCTTCAGAAAGTCTTCAGAATATCAAAGTCTTCACTTGAAGAACTTCATTTTTAGGGGTCGACTTTCTCTGTAAATATCAAACTCCTCATAGACTTATAGACCTGTGTACACTCACAAACGCATTAGTCCCTTAACCTATAAGTCTTCAATACACCAAAATCACTAAGGGGCGCTAGATGCACTTACAATTGGTCTTTGCTCTAGATCTTTTCATAAAATGCAGACACTCGTATGCACATATGATATTGTCCGTGATTAGCATGCCTGGGATGAAGGCTGACTGTTCCTTAGAGATGATGTCAGGGAGTATTTGCTTGAGTCTGTTCGCCACCACCTTTGAAGCAATCTTGTATAGGACATTACACAAGCTTATTGGACGAAACTGAGATAGCAGAGTTGGGTTCATTACCTTTGGTATTAGCACCAAAACAGTATCATTAATGCTCTCCGCACTTTCCTCCCCCTTGACAATTTTGAGGACCACTCTCGTGATCTCGTCTCCGCATATAGGCCAGTGTCTCTGATAAAAATGAGTCGGGAACCCATCTGGTCTTGGCGCCTTCATTGGAAACATTTGGAAAAGAGCCACTTTTACTTCTTCATTCATGTATGGAGCACACAAAGTCTCATTCATGCCTGTCGTCACCTTAACAGGGACATGTGCCATAACCTCCTCTAGCCCAGTGACGCCTTCTGATGTGTACAACATTTGGTAAAAGTCCTTTACCATCTCTCTTAACTCAGCTGGATCATCGATGAGCACTCCCAATGAATCTGCCAAAGCCTTGACCATATTCTTTTTGCGTCAGATATTGGCTCTAAGATGAAAAAACCATGTGTTCTTATCCCTCGCAGCAAGCCACTCGATCCTGGATCTTTGACGCCACATCAACTCCTCCCGATGGTACAATTCCACCAATTTATCATTAATTTTTATTTCCACATGTGACGGTCCGGTCCTCATTGGGTCGCCTCGCAAGCGATCCAACTCTAGCTTTAGCGCTCGTATGTCCTTCCGCACACTGCCAAAAGTATCCTTGTTCCATGTTGACAGATCTGTAGCTAGTTCAGCCAGTTTGCGCCTAATCTCCGCGATAGTGTGTCCCAGATGTTTGGAGCTCCACTTCTCCATGATGGTTTCCTGCCAATGCTCGTGAGTTTCCCACATGGTCTCATACCGAAAATCTTTCCATACCGAAGACGTATTACTCTCGTTTATCTCAAGATAGGGCAATGGTCCGACGTTGCAGCTGTTAGATGGGACAAGGTTGCTAGTGGAAACTGAGCACTCCACTCCGCCGACCCAAGGGCCCTATCCAATCTAACACGAGTAAAAGTGCCACCGGCTACCTTCTTCTCAAAAGTCCAGAAACGACCTCTATACCCCAAATCCATCAACATGCACACGTCGATGGTGTCTCAAAAACCCTGAATCTGGGCATTGTTGTGTTGGCCCACCCCTTCGTGCTCATCCGGACGTAGGACTTCATTAAAATCACCGATGCAAAGCTATGTCAGAGCGCTTAGGCTACTAATATTTTTCAGCACTGTCCACGTTTGGTGTCGCATATGAGTTTGCGCTTCCCCATACACACAAGTCAGACGCCATGGATCTTTTCCGGGGTCTTGGATCGAGCAATCAATATGGTAAACAGAGTAACCCAAAATCTCCAATTTTATTGGATTGTTCTACCAATGTCTCCACTCCTCCCTTGACTATCTATAGCAAAACTATTATCATTACCCAGAGTTCCAGCAAGTTCTTCTACCCTACCTCTCTCAATTTGTGTTTCTACAATAAAGAGAATAGGGGGGGCAAACTTCTTCGCTAGCTCGCGAAGCTCGTTAACTATCGCGACATTGCCCACTCCGTGACAATTCCAGCACAGGGTATTCATTGCGCTCGGCAACCCTCCAGATTGGAGGACGCCGTTGAGTTGTCTTGAAACTTGGTTGTTAAGGACATCCTTGGAGCATTCTCTGAAGCTGCATCTATCTTGGCCCTCTTGGGTTCCTGCTTGGAGCTCGGGCTGATAGGCAAGGGCGGCGCTGGGAGCAAGAGAGGTGTCTCCCCAAGCGTCATACTTGGAACTGCAGGTGCCACCTGCGCCTGGGGGTTTACAGTTTGGTTCTTCTCCATCGGATCACCTTTGGTGCGCTTGCGATTATTGTCAACTTCTGTCATTGTGGCGTTCCGAGTCACTTCATCTTCGGAGAAAGCAGCCGGCCCTGAGGCTGGGCCCCGTCCGCCTGACTAGTTGGCACGTCCCGCGCCTCTACCTCGTCCGCCACGGCCTCCCCTTCCAGTTGTGCGGTTCTGGCCAGGCCCTGGGCCAGCCCCTCGGAACCAGTCTGCGCGAAGCTCCTTGAAAACAAGCGTCGATTTTTGCATGAATCCCATCTCCATGTTCCTTGAACTGGTGCCCTAGGTGGCTACAAACTGCACACCAATCAGGGAGCCTCTCGTACTTGACCTTGAAAATCTTCCTTTCTTCTCGATGAACCAGGCTAACCGCATTCTTTAGGGGGTTAAACACATTGATTCTGACCCGAACCCTGTAAAAATTTCCCTCAAAATCTTGCGACTTAGGCTCCACATAGATGACCTCTCCCACTTTCCTGGCAAGAGCTTTCAGAAGCGGATAGAATCCATCCGGGAGATCATGCACTTGCATCCATAGTTCCATAGTATCCAGCTTCATCAGCGATGGTTTTGTGAATCCATCGTACTCAGCCATAATCACTGCATTACCTTTGTAGTTCCAGGGTCCCTCTTGCATCGCGCACTCCCAGTCACCGAGGCAAGCAAACTGCATCGTGTACAAATTTTCCTCGAGAGGGCGAATCTGTACTGGCTACGCGAGATCCCATGCCGCTCTCATCATCTTGTAAAATCCATACTGGCTATACTTCTTCTCCGTGTGAACTTGCACTATGGCCATCCATCTAGTCGTCTCCGGCGGCAGCAGATCTTCCTGTTCCACCACCACATCGTCCATGTCCTCCTCCTGGAGGCCCAACTCGCTCATCATTGCCTCCAAGTCCCCCGTTCTGGAGTTCGAAGACGACGACGCCATGCTTGTTCCCTAACCCGAGAAAGATTCGATCGGGTGTTTGAGCGGAACCCTAGCCTAACCCCAAGCCGAGAGATACTAGCACCCAGGCCGGGCAACGCTCAAAGAGCCCCCTGATCGGCCAGAATACAAACCTTCAGCGAAGTCGGGGGGAGGGTAGCAGGATCCCTATGGTGGCGCTCAAGTCGCCGCCGAGGGTAGGAGAAACCCTAACGAGAGGGTAGATCGACAAACCCAACACTGCATGATTGAACTCGATCGGACGGCTCGCAAGGAGGTTTGTGCCGGCCAGCATCAGTCGATTGAAATAAAGGGTCTCCTCTAACTTTATTTTGAGACAATATCCTTTTTTTTTCGAGTGACAGGTCCATCTATCTCAACGAAATAAGATAAATTTGTCGGCCCATTCTACAGCCACTCCAGCACATTTCTCAGCCTACACGCAGATTGCCCATTCTACAGCCCATTTAGGCCGTCGCCTACCAGTCTCGTGCCAACTCCCACACATCACCGCCGCCGCAGCCGCCGCCGCCGCCAGCACCGACGCCGAAGAACGGCCGGGAAATGGCCTTGCCGGTGATCCCCAGCAAGCTCCTGGCGGATATCTTCCTCCGCCTTCCCACCCCAGAGGACCTCATCCGCGCCTCCGCCGTCTGCGTCTCCTTCCGCCGCCTCGTCGCCGACCGCGCCTTCCTCCGGCGCTTCCGCAAGCTCCACCCTCCGCCCCTCCTCGGCTTCGTCGACTACAGCGGCTTCCACCCCGCCGAACCGCCTCATCCCTCCGCGCCGGCGGCCAGCGCCGTCGCCGACGACGACTTCGACTTCGACTTCGGCTTCCTCCCCGGGTCCTCCTTGGACTGGACCGTGCGTGAGGTCCGCGACGGCCGCGTCCTCCTCGACAGACCCGGCCGTCACGAGCCCCTCTTCAAGGAGACGGTGGTGTGCGACCCCTGCACCGGCAGTACCTCCTGCTTCCCCCGATCCCCGGTGACGTAGCCGCTTCGGTTGCGGTCCAACTCCTGATAGAGAGGCGGGGCTTCGCCGATTGCTTCCTCGTCCCTTCCGGCGACGAAGAAGAGGCAGACGCAACGGAGGAGACGTCGTTCAGAGTGATCTGGCTGGTGGTGCTTGAAAATAAACCGGTCGCCGCTGTCTTCTCTTCCACCACAGGGCAATGGCGAGCCATTACACCCCTGATTTGGAGCTTACCTGGCTTACAGTTATCGACATGGAAGTTTTGGTTCGTGTCGCGCCACTGCGCGCATGGCTGCTTCTACTGGATTTCAGGTTCAATTGAAAAATTGATCGTGCTTGACATCCGTAAGATGGAGTTCTCCATGGTTGATCACCCACCCTGTGCCAGACATTTGGGCGATGATGTGGCCATCGCGGAGGGAGGCCAAGGCAGGACTATGATGTTTGTGCCTAAACCAGACACAAAATGCCTTATTTATACTGTTTGGTGGCGAAATAATGGTGGGAATTCCACCCAGTGGCAGATGGAGAAGACAATCTCGCTGGATTCTGACTGCGTAATCGAGGGTGCAGTTGGGAGGCACTTGCTCCTATATTATGTCGGAGTCTCGTCGGCCAAGCAAGGTTGTTACACGCAGGACGTCGACACATTGCAGCTTGAGAGGGTGTGTTATTCATGTCCAAAACAGTCACAAGTATATTGCAACTTCCCACCATCGTTATTATCATCACCGACAGTGTCAAGTGGTAAGAGTGTTTAGATCCTTGCTGCACGCTCTTATATTAGTTTACAGAGGGAGTACTTCTTTTCATTTGTAGTTATAACTATCACATAGCTTGTCTGATATACTTGCTAGCTCATTAATGTGATCAGTAAGTATTTGTTACATAGTTTAGTGGTTGCTGCTTTTTTTTGTGCTTGTGGCAAAGCTGATCCAGCTAATTTGTTTGTCTTTCCTATGCGCCATCTTGAGGTAATTAGAGAAGTGAAAGGGAGGATCTAACACACTATAAGTAGAATTCTAGGGGTATTGCGAAATCATAAAAAACACTGGATCATAAGTCACAACAATTGATTCAGTTTTTATGGCAAAGATAATGGAGATTGAATACAAGTTTAAATCAGGACATTGCTGCCAGTTCATCTTTGTAGTGTTCTTTCTTAGACACATTTATTCCAGTCAAGCAGGACTTGTGTTATCTGGAAGTCTTGTGTGCTCACCGTTACAGTTGTAAATTTATCTTTATTGATTCCATACAAAAATTATCTTAAGATATAAGATGCAAAAATGTCTTTTGGTTTCCGATGTGAAAATTTATTCATTCTTTTTAATAAATATACGACACTAAAGTTTTGAATTAAATGCAGAATCACAAGCTATTTTGAATGACGTACCAAATGGTATTATTTGCACTTTTAAGATCAGGATAATCCTTGCTGCACCTCACAATGCATCTTTTTTAGCAAGAATTTTGCTGAACTTAATAGAGATTGGTAGTTCTTTCATGGGAAGGTAATGATGGCATATTGATTGTGTTGTAGTTTGCGGCTTGGCTGGAATTGAGCAATTTTCTTTGCCGTGCCATTAACCCTTTTTTGCACTGAGCATTGTGCACTAGCTTTTGGTCATCAGATTTGGGAACCTTGTCATCAGGCCACAATGGTCGTCTGCTTAGTCCCTGTCTTATCCTTTCACTGTATCTTCCTAAAACATATGTCAGGCCCCGAAACAGTATCGTGCACATCTGGCCATTCATTGGAGATTTAAAGGCTCGAGTTCTTAAGTGCTTTTGGTCCATCAGATTTGGGAACCTTGTCAGTAGGCCACAATGTATAGTCATCTGTTTAGTCCCTGTCTTATCCTTTCGCCGTGTCTTCCTAAAACATATGTCAGGCCTCGAAACGGTATCATGCACATCTGGCCATTCACTGGAGATTTAAGGGCTCGAGTCATTAAATGAACTCATCGCCGAGTTCCACTTACTGCTTCGCTTCACCTCTCTTCATCTGGAGTGCTTGGAGACAATCTAACGGCTACAGTTCAAATTACCTGATGAGCACTATTTACCGACCAACAAAAACTGCTTTAGATTGAATCCTTTTTTACTTTTACCAAAGTGATTATAATCGTCGATTCTTCTTATATAATTATGTTAGCGAAAATGATAAATATTTTCCATGGCAAATCTATTAATACTACTTCTTTCAATCACATATTTATAATGAAGGCTTTTCCAGAGAAACTATACAGAGTTTTTTTTCGACATAGAACTAAATAGAGGTTGCTAATACTGTCAAGGGATGGTAATTATGGACAGATGGATTGTGTAATACTTTGTGTCATGTACTGATGTACAGATGGAGCAATATCTGTGCCATGCCTTTTGGTCCATCACATCTGAAAACTCCTTCACTCGGCCACACTGCACTTTTCTGCTCTATCCCCGCCACAATCCTTGCATCCTGTCCTGGATAAGTGAAGCCTTTTCCAAAGCCATCAAGTCAATCCATCCAACCTGTGGCCATCAAGTCAATCCATCCAATCTACGGAACTTTGCTGTCTGGATTAATGCACTTATCTCAGAGAATCACTCGCTACGGATCTGAATTTTGGCATTCTTTTCCTTGCAACATTTTTTTTGTTTCTTTAGAATACCAAATTGTTTTCAGTTCACACCTATGTCTAGTTCCTATTCTCCTCCGCATGGCATCTATCTTGAGTTGCACCTCTGCAAGTTGGGACACTCTATTTCACCTATAGCAAGTTACTAAATTTTCACCCATGAAAACAAGTTCATCTATAGTGATTTACAGCAGTACTTTCTTCTGGCATGCCTGTCAAAGCTTGAACTTTGTTTTCCTGCATGCAGACGCAACCTTTTACATTTCTTCCTGTTTGCGGTGCACTTTTGTGATTCAAGTTATCATTAGTCTATTGAACTGATTCCTTTTTGGTACTGAACTCCGATAATTTTACAACTAAGCCTTTGTTTAGTCTACTGGTGCAGTTGAACCTGCAACCTAGGAGCCTCTGGCAGATTGCTGTTGGTGCTTTCTATGTGCAAATGCTATTTTTTCCCCTTTAATCACCTTCGTCTCCTTTATGTCTGTGCTTCCTTCTCATCCATGTCCTTCCTTTGAATCAGGGCAACACACATACTATAGAGCACAGCACAGTTGCCTTGGTTGCTGTATGACCGAGCTTAACTTTACAAGTTTCACTAACAGAAAAATATGTTTGCAGAACTTTGCTGAATTTTGTGAGTACTTAATTGCTGGGTTTGATCTTGGGTTATCTATTCATAAGTTGCCTGCATTATTTTTTATCGCATTACAAAGCTTTTCAATGAATATCCAACCATTCTCATCCCAAAGTCACTTGGTCTTCAATGTAACAGTATAATCTTGTGCATGCAGTCCCACGCCACGCCGACCACCGAGGAGTGGACGACGCTGTGCCGGCACCAGAACCACGAGAAGCTGACCTCGCTGGGGGACCGCCGTGCAAGCGCGGTCGTCGCAGCGGCCGCTCGGGCTCCAGAACCCGCGGAGGCGGGTCGCGGTGGACGGGGAGAAGGAGGCTGAGGCTTGACCCGTGGTGGACGAGGGCCTGGGGGCGGATGAGGGGCCAGATCAAGGTGTTGTCCAGGACGGCTGCGACCAAGTCCTTGGGCGGCAGGGGCTTGCCTTGACCAGGATCTGCTAGCAGCTAGCTGATGGGGACATGGAATGACTCGATCCTTTTTGTAAGATTTATACTACTGGTCTGCTGCGTGTTGATCTTTTTGGTTTCAGAACAGAAAACGGTACCGTTGTCAACACCCAAACGGCTTGATCTAGTTACGAAATCAAGCTGCAGTCTTCGAGAGGCAAGATCGGCTGCTGCACGGCTATGTCGCTGTGAGATTTTTTCCATCCAAGCATGAACGCACTAGTTGAACTTGATTCTTGTTGGTCCACTTCTTTGATCCCCGTGTGCTGTTGTAGCAGGCAAGGGCTAAATACCTGGCATCCTGGTTGATCTAGCTAGCTAGCATATGGATCCAGCACCAACAAAGTGAATGATCCCTTTTTCATACAATTTTTAGTTTCTGAACCTTGGCTCCAGGAGGTGCAGAGATGAGCATTCTGGTTGAAATGCGCTCGAGATGCACATGGATTTGCATTTGTCAGTAGCATTCTGTTTAATACTCTATATATGCAGTAGGTCAATCTGACGACTTGCTGTCGCTTCATTTATATACTATTGACATTTTCTACCGTCTGCCGCCCGATAATTAACTTGGTGTTCTTCTGCTGGTTCATGTAATCAACCATATCATGTCCTGGCAGCACTTGGCGTGTCATAGATCTGCATTGCATTGCTGCTGTTGCAAGTGCTTATGCTGGATGCTATGATTATTATTACGATTATTGTTACTCTATTATACATTGTCTTTTGTCGTGCGCTTCTGGCTGCATTCTGATATCGCTGTCCCGGTAAATCGTGTTGATCCAGCCATCTTGTAGTCTTCTCAAGTGTGTGTATCTTGTGATGAAGAATACATCACGGTTGCAGATCCAAGGACGATAGGACGGCAATCAGGCAAGCAGATACTGAACTCAACCCATCAACAATCAGCAGCATCGAGCAAGGCCGAGCAGAGATGTTTTGAAAATTCGTGAATATTTTTAAATTTTGTGAACATACTTAAAAAATGTTTAGCATTTTTAAAAGGTTGAAAATGTTTATAAATTCAAGTACTTTTTAAAGTTCAAGAACATTTTCTAAATTCATAAATTTTTAAAAATTTGCAAACAATTTTAAAATTCTTAAAGACTCTTTGAAACTCACCAACGTTTTTAATTCAAGATTTTTCTCAATTTTTTTTGATTTTTAAAACTACATTTTATTATTTTGCAAATATATTTTTTATTTTTAAAACTACATTTTTATTTTACGTATTTTTTTTTAAATATTCTCTGTGTTTTTTGTCTGTTTTGCTTTCGCTCTGTTTTTTCTTCTATTCTCTGGATGGACCGAGGCCAACTAGGCTGACTAGCCAGCTAGCCCAAGTGAGCATCACACTCATCTTCTCTCTCCTCATACACGTTTGGTCGTCCTTGCATGCCTAGCATGCGAGGCAAGACATCTCAATTTCCTACTCGATGCTTTATATTGTCGATGATTTGCATAGTGCAAAATAGCTTGGTCATCCCCAATGGGAGGCAAGGAACAAGAGCGATCTCTCCCAATTGATTTTTCTAACTGTTTGGTAGTGGTTTTTATTGTATTTTTTGTTATTTGTTTTGAGTGTTTTTCTTTTTGTTTCTTTTCTTCCACCGGTTTTCCTCATGTTTTTTCTTTATTTATTCATTTCCCTATTTAAATCCTTTTTATTTATTTGGAAAACTAGCTTACATCTTTTAAAACTAAAGAATATCTTCTAAAAATGCACGAATATAGTTTTTTTTAAATTTGAGGACAACTTTTGAAAACATGATACTTTTTTTGCAAACTATTTCTAAACTAGAGAACATTTTGTGACATGAGATTTTTCAAAATTATTGAACATTGTTTAAAAACTTGTGAACATATTTTTATAAATTATTCTATTAAAAATTCTAGTGTTCTTAAATTCTTTTTTCTTAGATGTTAAAATCATTTTTTACTGCAACCGATTTTTTACTGCAACCGATTAGTTTGAGAAAATCGCTTGTAGGCCAGGCATCGTTTTGACGCACAGCACTTTCAGCCTACACATCTGTATGGCCCAACGTAGCCCATTGTTATGTTTTTTTTTTGAGGATCAGCCCATTTTTTTATGTCGTCGGCTCATTTCGCACTCCGCAGCAGCGCACACACACATCCTAGTGCGAACTCCCACTGCCGCTGGATTCCTGTTGATCCACTTTTTTCGGTCCACGCGTGTGATGTTGTAGCAGTCAGGGGCTAAATACATGGCATCCTGTTTGATCTAGTATGTGGATCAGCACCGGCAAAGTTGACCCGCTGCAGAAAATGCATGAATGATCACAAATGAACCCCTTTCATACATTTTTCTCATTTCTGAATCCTTGCTTTCGAATGAATGATCAACAGATGTGATGCTGCAGCAAAGTCTGATCAAATTGGTCGAAACCTGGACGAGTTGAAGGAGTTGGTACCGATTATAGAGTCCCAAAAGCATGCATTACTTGATGAAACTTGAGTGCTTTGCTGGCAAAGCAGAGCAGATTGCAAGGGATGCGAAAGATGCAGAGCTCTTAGCGTTTGATGAATGCAGGTGTTTTCATATACTATATCCAACTTAATTGTTCCTATAACTTATGCTCCGGGTGTTGGTTGCAATTATCATGCTACCAAACCTGGATCAAGTTCCAATTATCATTCTCTTGCAAATTAATTTGACCCATCTTATTATGCTAGCTGGACGGGTTAATCTGAAGATTTACTGTTGCTTTATAATAATATTCGATCGATCTCTCGTATTTATATTTATATTTTCAATATATGGTCTGATGGCTTGTTGGAGGCCGTCAACTAACTTGGTGCTTATCTGTTGGTTGATATTTATATTTATGTAATGAACCATATCCTGCTGTCCTGTCAGCACTTGGCGCTCAATATATTTGCATTGCTGCTGATGAAAGTCCTTATGCTGCACGCCAATGAAGAAGCCTATTCAGGTTTGCTGTTTTGGCCTTTTCTCTTGGCTGCATTCTCATGTCACTCTCCGGGCAAATCGTATCGATCTTGTAGTCTTCACCAGTTGCAGATCCAAGGAGGGGAGGATAGGACGGCAACTAGGGAAGCATACTCAAGAACTTACAGCATCAACAACACCGAGAACGGCTGAGCAGAGATGCTTCCTTCGACGGCTCGCCCTGCAGGTGCAGGTGCCGCGGCCTACACGCAGCCGCAGCTGAGGCAGATGAGGGCGCAGTGCATCGTCTTCCTCGCCTTCAAGTATGTTATTCTTGGCCGGTAGCAAGCATCTCAATCTCTGCAAGAATTCTGTTGTTTCTTTCATTCATCCCGTCGTGTGTGTGTGATTATGTGCTAGGAACCAGATGGAGCCCAGGAAGCGGCACCTCGAGATCGCGCTCGGTGAGGATGACATCGACGGAGCCGGCTGCCACGGCGAGACGACGACGACGAGCTCACCTTCTCAAGCCTCGTCGTCCTCTGCCGCACCGTTGCCGCCGCCCCACCTCCTGTCCGTCTCATCGCTGCGGCTGTCCCCGCCGGTGACGGAGCAGGAGCAGGAGAATCGCGAACACAACGACGACCCTGCAGCAGAACATGAGTAATTGATGGTTGTATCCTCTTCTTCCCACGACCAAAAATGAATGAGAGGCTCCTTTTGGATACAAAGTGTTGTTCTCATACATACGTATAACAACTTTGATTAGCCTTGTCATACATACATATAACAACTTTGGTTAGCTTTCTAGTAGCTCATTAGTTTTATCATCCATCTTGTAGATCTTTCTGCGTTTGTGTATATCTAGCGAGATGTAAACAAACGACATATCTGTTAAAAATCTTTACGTACAAGATATAGATTAGCTAGGCCGAATTGTGTGCCTCATCATGCATATTTGTCGGAACTGAAGTACTCTTCCAAATGGTCGGTTAGTTCAACGCACAAGAAAAATACTCTAATATACTATACTGCAGAATAGTCTAGTACTACTTGTATATTGTGATGATATTTCATGCCTATATATATATGTTCTAATACTATGGTTTTTTGTTACTATGGTTAAGAGTAAGGACGATGACGGGGGCAGCTTAAAGAAAAATCCACATGACCTTTATAAGCCCATATAGTTACACGGCCAATGAAGTTAAGAGTATAGCGGAAAAAAGAAGAAGGGTAAAGAGAATGACGGGGACTAGCTTAAACAAAAATCCGTATGAGCTTATATTGTTACACGGCGAATGAAGTTAAGAGTAAGGACTATGACGGGGACTAGTTTGCAATGACACCATTTCCTTAGACGCAATATAAACGCCAATCAAAAGACATGTGAGGTTGTTTATATGGACATTCTAGAGAGGTCGCAATGGCACACAAAAAGTTATTGTTTCTCTATGGGTTTAAGAGCTTTGTCATATGGAAATACTCTGTTTCTAGTTAATTGCAACAAAGTTGACTCTTTATGAAAGAACCGCAACATAGTTTTTTCTCCTGATAAAACTAGCATTAACTCTGTTCATGGCCTATTTTTTTTTTGACTTGGCTGATTTGAGGGTACAACTTAGCAGTGTCGTTGTTGTTGGTTCTTAAACCCATCATGTGCTGAGCCAGCTGCCGAAGTTCCCTTCGCTGTCCGGCACCGTGTATGAGGAAGACAGGACCAAGTTCCCTTCGCTGTCCGGCAACCAGGATGAAGACGACGAGGATATAGACTGGGATGACCGCCTGCATTTCCCAGCCGGGGAGAAGGAGGTCGGCATCTCGAAGAACCTCCGGGACATCATCCACTTGGAGATCATGCTGGACGCCTTCTGCAGCAGGCCTGTGCCTAGTCTGTGGCGCGAACCTCAACACGAGCAGCTGCAGCTGCGGCACTGAGGAGTCTTTGCAGGCCAAGGACGCCAGGCGGCCGGGAACTCTCAAAGACCTCCTGAAGCCTATGCAGAGAAGATGATGATGAGGCAGACAGTGCATTGTAGGTATCTTGTAACCTGTGTGATAGTCTCTAGGATTGTCGTGGCCTCATGGGCAAGATATGCAGCCCGGTGAAAATGCACCGACGATGCAAATCATTCTGGGCGTTCCTCAGAAGTTCATGATTATCATTTGTATTGCCTCATCTTACGGTCGAAAGTAGAAGCCCGCAACGCAATGCTAGGATATTATGTTGTACCGCAAAACCTGACATGATATGTGGGCGAATTTGCGCGACACATGTGATTTGTCTCTTGGGGGGATCAAATTAACTGTATGTACATTTATCACTGGTTAACTCCCTGGGAAGGTTAGATTAAATTGCTGTAACACAAGGCAGAATTAATTCTTCATGTTAATTAGCAAGTGTTATGTTTTTGCTGGAACACTTGCATCTTTCAGGTTTTACTTCTTGTACCAACAGGTAACAGCCCAAAGTAGGGCAACACAGGTTTACTTACAACTGAGCAAAGATAAGTAAAAATAAATAGCATGGCTATACAGAGACACTCCATCAGCTCTGAAAAGAAACTAAGCAGACAAGAGCAGCTCTGAAACAAGGCTAAACACAGAGAGAAAACACAAAGAACGCCTTGAATGCTTGGGTGGAGCACCACAAGAAACAAAGAACATCCATTCATGCATGGCTTTTCCTCCGTGAGTTTCGCGGCGGCGCGCCGCTCATTCACCATGCTCGAAACAAGGGACCAGGCAACAGTGACCTCCACCTTGAAATGTGCAATGTGCCAGGATGTTATGTTGTAGTACAAGACCTGAAATGACATGATGAGTGGATTTGTGCTGAGACTTGAGCTTTGTCTCCTGAAAGGAATCAAATTTTATCTGTATGTGCACTTATCACTGTATGTGTATGTTTTTGCTGGAACACTAGCATCTTTCAGGTTTTACCTCTTGCAAGCCAACAGGTAACAAACCAAAGTAGGTCAACACAAAACTTACTTATAGTTGAACAAAGACAAGTGAAAAAAAGAGACGGTCATACGGAGAATCAGTTCACCAGTCACAACATATAGTAATTAAGTAGACTGAATAAACTACCAGACTAGACATCGAAGAACCTCCGTTCCAGTGCTTGCCTGAGCTGATCACTACACAGGAACACAAAGAACACTCATTCATGCCCTCTCCTCCGCGAGTTTCGCAAGGGCGCGCCGCTCATTCCACAAGCTCGAAACAAGGGACCATGCAACAGCAACCTCCACCTTGCAAAAGCCAAGATCCCAGGTGCCATTGCGAGTGCCGGCCCTCTCCCGCGCGAACACGGCCTCGCCTCGCGCAACAACGACGGCAGCGCCACCACCATCATCGCCGTCTTCTTTGCCAGCGATCTGAGGGGACGCCACTGTTGGAATAATTATGCATCTATGAGATGCCATTAGCAGAATCTAATTGCACCTAGATCACCTCACAACATGAACAGAGAAGGGTTTAGGGTTTCTTTACATGTCACGGGAGTGGACATGATCGCCTGCTCGGTGCAGGCGTGATGCAGGGGTGATGTAGTCGAAGTAGATGTTCTCCTCGACGTCCTGATTCCTTCAGGACGCCACCGGCACTGCCCAGGGACAGCGGCGGCGGCTGGCTTAGGTCTTCCCGTCGCTGCAGCACTCCCCCTGATCGGATGGGGTGAGAGAATATCGGGAGGAGAGTAAACCTTACGTGAATTGTAATCTCGCAGGTGCCCAGCTCTCTCCCGTATCCCTTTTAATATGGCGCTGGCGACAGGGGACCCAAAACCTGAGTTGGTTTTTGGGCGCCCCCGATCAGGGCGCGTTAGTTCTGATCGAGGCTCACGTACGTTGGTACGTGGACCCCTTCACTTATCGTTATCCCTTTATCCCTTTTTTTTTCTTCTGTTAGACTAATAGATCTAACTGGCCTGTTTAAGCCGTCAGATCAAAACCAACATTCTCCCCCTTGATCGTTAGGCTTAACTTCATTCGCCCATTCTATATAGGAATGATGTACCAAAGTGAGGTGTTACAACAGCTCAAAACGCCATAGAACCTCAACACTTATAGTACACCCGCCTATTTCGAAATGGAAAACATTTTACTAATTGGGGAGTGGTTTATTTTAATGGTCCTCTTATTCCAGAATCATCAGGCCTCCAGTAGTCCCATGCCGGCAACATGCTCACGAAAGATACTGGGTGGTAAGCCTTTTGTTAGCGGATCCGCAAGCATATGCTTCGTTCTTATATGTTTAACATCAACTGTTTGATCCTGGATTCTATCTTTCACAACACGATACTTTATGTCAATGTGTCTGGCAGCATTACTTGACCTGTTGTTACTCGTATAGAAAACTGCTGGTTCATTATCGCAGTACAATAAAATTGGTTTAGATATGCTGTCAACCACTTTAAGTCCGGGTATAAAATTCTTTAGCCATACAGCCTGCCCGGTGGCCTCATAACATGCTACAAATTCTGCTTGCATCGTAGATCCAGCAGTTAACGTTTGTTTGGAGCTTTTCCACGATATAGCTCCTCCCGCGAGTGTGAATATATAACCTGACGTGGATCTCATACTATCCACACACCCGGCAAAATCAGAGTCTGAATAACCAACAATTTCTAGGTTATCAGTTCTTTTATATGTAAGCATGAAGTCCTTAGTTCCTTGCATATAACGCAAGACTTTCTTTGCGGCCTTCCAGTGGTCCGGTCCTGGATTTGATTGGTATCTGCCAAGCACCCCGGTTACAAAACATAAGTCTGGGCGTGTACACACTTGAGCATACATGATGCTTCCAACAGCTGAAGCATAAGGAACCGACTTCATCTGATCAGTTTCACATTGGTTCCTCGGACATTGAAATGTCCCAAACTTATCGCCCTTAACTATAGGAGCAGGTGAGGGTGAGCACTTATGCATATTGAATTTTTTCAGTACTCTCTCAAAGTATGCCTTTTGAGATAGTCCTAACGTTCTTCTGGACCTATCTCGATGAATCTCGATGCCGAGGACATACGAGGCTTCACCAAGATCTTTCATATCAAAACTGGATGACAGAAAATTCTTGGTCTCATGCAGCATATCCTTATCGCTACATGTCAACAATATGTCATCAACGTATAGGACTAAAAATGTGAACCTACTGCCTTTAAACTTAACGTATATGCAGTTGTCCACAACATTTTCGGTGAAACCAAAAGTTTTGATAATTTTATCAAACTTGAGGTACCACTCTCTTGAAGCTTGCTTCAAGCCATAAATTGATTTCTTTAGACGACATGCTAAATGTTCCTTTCCTTCCACAACAAAGCCTTCTGGCTGAGCCATGTAAACATCTTCTTTTAAGTCACCATTTAGAAATGCCGTTTTAACATCCATTTGGTGTAGTTCTAGGTCGTAATGAGCTACTAATGCCATTATGATTCTGAAAGAATCCTTGGTTGACACAGGGGAGAAGGTTTGCTTATAATCAATGCCTTCTCTCTGTGTATACCCTTTTGCCACTAGCCTTGCCTTGAACCGTTCGACATTCCCTTTGAAATCATACTTGGTTTTGTAGACCCACTTGCAGCCTACTTTCTTAGCTCCATCGGGAACTTCTACTAATTCCCATACATCGTTTGAGCCCATAGATTTCAACTCGTCTTCCATG